GGATTGATTCAGTGACTGGGGTAATCGGGATGGATGTATCAGAGACAGTGCAATTGGCACAGAACAGAGCAGAGTTTAGGGCTGTTGTACATAGGGTCGCTATGAGTCGCAAGCGACTCGAGGGCACATAACAACAAACAACAACAACAACGTTTGATTTTTACTGTTAATAAAGTATCAACTTAAAAGTGACCCATAATTAACTGGGTTTTCAGAGGTAACAGATCACATGAGAGGATATTGCCTATCTTTTTGCCATGAAGCATTTGGTACCTTTGGGCTGGGAGAGCATCTTTTTACCACTGAAGCACAAGGGCTCCCTGTTTGATTATGCTTATCTGATTTAGCCTAACCAAAAATTCCTGTATTTGTCTTATAACATTGGCTTCCTCTTATAGGTAATCTTTGAAGATCTGAACCAATATAAATCGAAAATCGAGGATGAAATACTCTCTCTAGAAAAAGAGTTAAAAGAAGAAAATTCTAAACATGCTGAGCAAGATGACTTGGTAAGGCTACTGTGTTTGAAAATATAAGAAAACTAATGTAATTGTGTTTTTAAAAAAATCCATGTTATTGTAAAATTACATTCCCCAATTATAGAATGCTGTAAAGTAGAAAGCAAAATTTTCTGGGTGGACTATACCTTTTATTTTTTAACATTTAGTTACCAAAATTTTCTGAAAGTACTATGAAAGGTCACAGAAGTAATTAAAATAATCACATGCATAGTGAATGTATTTTACTGCTTAAAAAATGAGAATGTTTTATCTCCATTCATTTGTCTTACTTTAAAATTCAAGTTAGGAAATACTTGATATGTGTAAGATTATTTAGTGATATATTCACAAATATGATATTTGTGAACTTATTTATAAGTTTATATAATTTGAATGTTATGAAATAGTAAGGGCCATGTGAAATGTTACTGATAATTAACATTTGTGTACTGAAAATCCTTGTGTGCATCTATCTAAATAACAGAAAATTCTTTGACTCCTCACTTATACAGAGAGTGTTAGGTTGACAGTGTACTAAATGATATAAAATAGCATATTGGAAAATGGTGGAGTTTTGTAAATACTTTATATTTACTGGGATTATCTTCCAGATGTCTGATCTTTTAGAAAATATACAGTCCCTGGAAGAGGAATCAAAATCTCTCAAATCAAAAGTAGCTGAGGTGAGTTAATTGGCCTAATAGTTCTGTTGCCATTGAAAATTAATTTTATTCTCTTTATTACTAAAGAGTAAGATGTAATACTAGAGTATAAGATTAAAGTTTGAAGAGTTCTTAGTTACATATCTTTTAATTTGGGATACCTTACATAATAAGTTATTGGTCTTGCAAAATTCTGTGGAAAAATTTACACAGGAAGATAACTAAACAGAAGACCCTTATTATAATGAAATGGGCAAACACCTGAAGCTAGAAAACCAAATGCTTAGTATTTCTTAATCTGAAAGAACTGAAGGAAAAAAGCTAACCTTGTGTGGCAGTATTGAGGGAATATATAGTCATGCATTCAATATAACGGGAAGCATCAAAAGAAGATGGGAGGAACACACAGAATCACTGGGACAGTACGAATTGTCTTAGCTCAACTATTTGAAGAACTAATGGTACTAAAGAAGTCCATACTGCACTGAAGGTGATAAACAAAGCTCCGTGAATTGATAGAACATCAACTGAAATATATCAACAGATGATTGCAACATTGGAAACACTGATTGACCTGTGTCAGGAAATTTGAAAGGCAATTACCTGGCTAACTGGAAGATAATATCTATATGCCCATTCCAAAGAAAGGTGATCCAACAGAATATACTGAACAATATCACAAGCAAGTAAAATATTGCTGAAGATGATTAAAAAGAATTAAGCTTTGCCAGAAATTCAAGCTTAAGTCAGAGGAGGACATATAGAAAGGGACATCATTGCTGATGTCAAATAATCTTAATTGAAACAGAAAATACTGAAAGAATGCTTGAAATCCTGAAAGAATATGCTACCAACTATACAAAGGCATTTGATTCTGTGGAACATAACAAATTATAGATAACATTATAATGAGTGGGAATTCCAAAACTTAATTGTGCTCGTGTGGAACTTGTACATAAATCAGGAAGTGATTTGAACATTAAGGGGGATATTGGAGGGAAATTTACTAATGACTTGTAATAGAGGACACAATCATTTTCAGACATTATGTGCTATTAATATTGGGATGGTTTTGACTTTGTTTATTTCCATGTTTGCCATATTCTATCCACTGTGTAAGAATAGGCTATTATATTGAAAACTAAGTTGCTATTAACCAATTTTTTTTTCATTAGGCCAAAATGACCTTTAAAGTATTTCAAATGAATGAAGAACGACTTAAGATATCAACGAAAGGTTTTCTAGATGAAAATTGTCAAATTCAGGAATGTCAGACGCAGGTTTGTATTGCATAGGCTTTCTTCAGTCGACTGGCTAGTAATGAAATGATAAGTATTTCACTAGTAATGAAATGAGAAGCATTTCAGGTATATGCAGTGACACATGCATTCTAGAAACAAGAGTAATATTTTGGAAGAGCTGGTAATCTCCCTTGTGTCTTTTGATAACTCCTGTATACAGGATACAGAAGTAGATATTGCCCAGAAATGAAAATAAGCCATGTTTGGTAGGTTTAGAATTTTGATAAATAGCATTTAGCACCATCTCTTTAAAGCTAGACTAAAGAAGGGAACAGTAAACCCTTGAGAGTTGTTGATAGATCTGGGGAGAGGGGGACGGGGTTATGTATAGAAACAGTTTTGGTAAATCAGATGGATAGTCAGCTTTTACCTTTTTTTTTTTTCCCCGCATTTTTTTTATTACTTTAAATGAAAGTTTAGAGAGAGTCATTCATTGTTGTACTTTTCTCCTTGCTTCACTCTTCTTGAAAAGAAAAGCTCTTTCATTGTTACGCAATCCCTCCACCCAAGTTCACTCCACTATGCAGCCCTCACTCTGGACTTCTGTAATGACAAGAATACCCATTGATATAGCCCTTGTAAACAGTTCTCTGTCTCTTCTGTTTCAATGCAATATTCATCATTCCTCCCCTCCTTTTCTGTCTTCCCTCAACCCTGATGTGTCAGTCCCATTTTACAACAGTGGCCCTGTGCAATATTTGTCATTTTGTGACTGAGATATTTCACTCAGCGTAATGTCCTCCAGGGTCATCCATTTTGAGTTTTTACCTCTTGTGTGATTATTTAAATATTTCTTGCAACTGAGCCAAATGGTATACTCTCATTGGTGTCTTACTAGCTGTGCTATTGTGTAAATTGTCCTGTTTCTGTATACCCATCTCTAATTTATCTGTAAACTCTACTACACATGTAAATATCTTTTTTTTTTTAATTAGACTGTTTTTATATAAACTATTTTACACAGCAAAATAAAAAAGGACACACAGAACTCATGGCACAATGGTTAATCTTTCCTCACTAAAAATATCCTAGGGTATAGAGCTCTCTGAAATTATTTCTCCCTTCTTTGTGAACCAACACAAATAAAAGGTGTTCTGCTCTGAGAGGTAATTTGAACATTCGATTTTCAAAAGACAGTATTTCATATGAATTTTAAGAAAAAAGCATGTATAAAATGATATTTGCTATCACAACTTTAAAATTCTATGTGCACTTCTAAACATCTAGAAAGAGTAGATGTTTGAAATAAGGACTTAAGTTTGTCTACTATATATCCACAGTATTGTTTGGATAAACTACACACATGTAACAAGTCTTCTAAATAAGAACATTTTGCACTAGAACCATTCATTTCTTCTAACTCTTCTTCACAACTCAGTGTATCAGTATAGGCATATGTGTCACTTAGATGTAGTTTTATGATTTAATTTCCAAAATATTTTCAGAATACAACTTTTCTAGAAACTTTTAAGAGTATTCAAAATGTGTTAGTTTACTAACTCTACTTTTGTTGTACAATGGTGCTCTCTTTATTATCTAGAGATTATTTTTATTGTTGTGTTGTTATGTGCCGTTGAGTCACTTGTGACTCATAGCGACCCTATGTACAACAGCCCTAAACTCTGCTCTGTCCTGTGCCAGTTACACTGTCTTTGACACACCCACCCCAATTACCCCAGTCACCGAATCAATCCACTTCATAGAGGGTCTTCCCCTCCTGGACTGTCCCTCCTCTCTCCCAAACATGACATCCCTCTCCAAAGATCAGTCCCTCCTTGCAACATGTACAAAGTATGTCAGATGAAGCCTCAGAATCCTTGCCTCCAAAGAGCAACCTGGTTTAACCCTCTCCAGGATGAACCTGTTTTTCTTAGCAGTCCATGGTACATTCAGTGCTCTTCTCCAGCACCACAGCTCAAAGCTCCTTCTATCCTCCTTAGTCATTGTCCAGCTCTCTGATGCATAGCAAGTTATTGCAAAGACCATGGCCTGTATCAGACACACCTTAGTCTCCAGAGTGACACCATTGCTCTTCAGTACTTTGGAGAGGTCCCTAACAGCAGACTTTCCCATCGCATTACGTCTTTTTTTTTTTTATCTTACTGGGAAAAACATGTTGAGGATACACAGAGGTGAGGGTTGGGAGCAGAAGGGTGAGGATGGACAGGGATGAAAATTGCAGGGATGCAGTTGCAAGCCTGCACAATTTGGTCTGTGGGGGGAGCAGGTGAAGGAAATGAAAAGAATCCAGTGGGGACCAGATGACTGAGGGCAATGGTAAGCAAAATCCGGTGGTGATCACACAAACTGTCTTTTTCACTTGTGGGTTTCTCATTTGGCACACACTCTCTGACTTCTTCATACTGAACAGAGCGTTGATGTGAAGGGGGAAAGGGAGCACTCTTTATTACTTTACTGGTGGTCTAGGGTTGTAGCTGCTTGCCTTCTTGTTCTGTTAGAAGATATTTTGCAGGCCTTTACTCCCCTCTGGACTGCAAAGTGTTTTCCCAGGTGGGTCCAGTGGAGATGGCTGAGTGAACTCTGAAGCTCCATCCTCCTTTGCTTCCTTAACTGGCCATTGTATTTCCTTCCTGTCTCTGGAACTGGGTTCAGGGTCAGGTCTGGAGTAAAACTCAGTGCTAAGGTTACCTATAGAAACGGGAGCAAATCCATTCTTTGGGAATCCTTGATTTCCTGATGTTGAATCTTGATCCACACCAAGGGCCAGTCCTCAACTGTTTAACTGTTCAATTATCAAGAAACAGAGGTCTGTAGAAGGCCATGGTGGCCCTCCTCCATGTGGTCTGCTGTTCCCGCAGCTCGCCATGTTGTCTCTGCTGCTGCTGCCATCTTGAAATCCACATGTAAATATCTTATTCATCCTTTTTTTTTTTTAAATGAAGCATTCCCTCCTGGGACCTTCTGTCTTCCTGGTTGGTCCAATCAGGACTTGTTCTCTAGTTCTAATTGCTGTTTTTTTCTTGTTCAGAGATTTCACTTTACCTCACCTTGAGAATTCCCTTTCTTTTCTTCCTCCTCTAGTGTTGGATATTTTATTTCTTGGTGGATTGAATCAGTGACTGGGGTAATCGGGATGTTGTTGTTTCGTTCCGTCAAGTCGACTATGACGAATAGCAATCCTATGAACACATTGAAATTGCCTTATCCTGTCCCATGTTCATGATCTCTGACGTGCTCAAGTCCAATGTTGAAGCCCTGTGTCTGTTTAACTGTTATCTCCCAAAGAGTATTCTTCTCTTTTTCTGGCCCTGTGCTTTTCCAAACATGTTGTCTTTTCCCCAAGAACTGGCCACTCCTGACAACAGGTCCATGTGAGATGGAGTTTCACCATCCTTGCCTCAAAGAAGCATCTTGGTTGCCGAGTTGCACATTTATTTCTTTTTTTGGCAGGCTATGGTGTTAGATCTTTACATTGGACGTAAGGCCATGGACTCAAGGAAGAGACCAGAGAAAGAAAGGAAGCTAAAGAAGCTTTATTAAGGGGTCTCCCAGGCGGCATTCCTTGGTCTGCAGAGGGAGAAACACGCAGAGGGACAGACCAAGGAAATACCACACTCTAAAATGTATTGTTGTTGCTGTTATGTGGTGTGGAGTCTGGAGTCGTAGGCGACTCAGAGCAATCCTATGAACGAAAGACCTGAACATTTGCATAAATTTCATCATTTCTCCAAGTTCATAGGGTTTCCAGAGGCAAGCTATTTCAGAAGTGGATGCCTCTCCTGCTTCCAGGCTTGGTTGCTATGAGTTGCAAGCGACTCGATGGCACATAACAACAACAACAATGGCCAAGACTTGCTCTTTTGTAATTAATTCTCTTCCTTAGCTTTCTAATCTAGAAAAAGCTTGTATGCCGAAATGTGTCTTCAACTTTTCTTACACTTAATGATATTTTGGCGTGATATCTTATGGGTGGAACATGCCTTTCCTCAGAATGTCGATTTTATTATAGCATTGTTTCCCCCCACTTTCCAGTACTGCCTATGAAAGGTAAAAATCTAATTTCTGAAATTTTTTTTAATGCTCTGTTCTTTTCCTCACTGGAAGCTTTCAGTATCTTTAATTTGCTTCCGTCTCTCACAGGATAGAGCACGGTTTAGGGCTGTTGTACATAGGGTCGCTATGAGTCGCAAACGACTCTACAGCACATAACAACAACAACATGCCTTGGTGTGAATTTCTTACCTTCATTTTGTGGGAGACTGTTCTGAACACTATTCTTGGTTCTGTTTTGTTAAGTTTTCTATATTTTGAAATGGGAGAATAACATATATGTTAAACTGTCTTCTTTCTTAGTCTCAGAACGTCTGTTCACTTATTTTCAGTTATTTTTAATTTCTGCAAATTCCTTTCTCTTTATTTTTTTTCCGTTTTATTTTTATCTTGCTGAAGATGCTAATCAAGTGTTTAATTTTTTGTTCAACTGTAAAATATTTTTTTATAAATACTTTGTTTCAGTTCTCTTTTAAAAATGTGTTTTGTTTCTGTTGCTCCTTCATTTTCTGCTTGTTTTGGTTTGGGGCCACAAGAGAATTTATATTTCCTCCTTAGATATATGGAATCAGAATGTATATTTTAACAATATCATAATTATGCACCTAAATATCTAAGTGAATAAGATGATATTGTAAGATAAAATAACAGTTATAAGATGTAATAGATATGACAATGGACTTTTCTTCTTAATTTTAGCTTTTACAAGAAGCTGATGCATGGAAAGAAAAATTGAATGAACTTGATAAGCAGAAAACAACATTTGAAGATACTGTATTACACGCAGAACAGGTCCTAACTGATAGAGAAAATCAGATTCAGGTAGCTAGCTGACTTTACTGAAAGAATATTTTATTTATTGATTTGGAGATTTTTAGCTTTTGCGGCTTTGGTTTTCATAATTTATTTGGCTAATTTTGACAGTGAATTTTTTGTGAGAGGTAATACATTCTGTGTTGTTGTTGTTAAGTGCCATCGAACTGTAAATGACTCATAGGGACCCTATGAACTATAACTGTCTTCGTTTCTCCAAGTTCATAGGCTTTCTGGAGGCAAGCTATTTCAGAAGTGGGTGCCACTTGTGCTTCCAAGCTAGTTTTTATCGGGGAGCTCCACCAAACACTGTCGACCATGGGTAACCATTATCACTTTTGACACATCAGTGTCACAGTGTTCAGCATCACAGCAACCATGAGTTACCTCTATACTCTATGGAAAATAGACCAGTGCTATACCACTTAGAAGAATGTTTGACCAAAACCAATTAAAACCAGGCCTGAGAGCCACAGGTTAAAATCACTCACCTTTGGCTTGATAGTATCACTTTCTGTCCACTAGGCCCACTGAGCTCTGTCTATGTTGTTGTTGTTAAGTGCCGTCAAGTCATACATTCTGATTTGTGCAAGTAAAGTCTTGTCCTTCTTTTGACAAAAGGATCTTTGTATTTTGTATTTAGACTGCTGTTTCCATTCATAAGATTGAAGTTGGGTAGAGTTTGATAAATCTGATAGATAATTGGATACTGCTGGATTAGATGCTCCATGTACTTTGACAGAGATCAAATAACTGATAATTACTCTGGCCTCCTTTTTTTATCTTTAAAGTTTTAGATGTTCAGCTACAGAGAGATACTATTATATTAAGTATCAATAAGATGTAAAACTAACTTTTTTTTAAAAAAATTAAATTTATATTTAAATTGCTGCTATTCAGATGATGCTTTCAAGATTACAGCTCTTGGAATGTAATTTAAAATTTTTTCTATATTTTTCTTTTAAACTTACTCTGCTAAGAGTTCTGGAGTATTCATAAACAGAATAAGAATGAAATGTTAACGTAAAGCTAGCCTCAAAACTGTAGGCCAGGTTGTTTGTACCTGAAACTCTAAAGAAGCAGGAGATGAAGGTTGATAAAGGTTGTAAATTGTAGAACAGAGTAGATTATTCTGTGGTTTATTCCACAGAAATATGGCACAGTTCTTTAGCACAATCTTGATGTTCAGATTCAGATGACCATTTATGATGTCTTTTTTCTTTATTGAGCTCCTAATAGCTTACTTGAATAAATCAAATCTGTGATCTTTTCATCTACCATGTATCCCATTTGAAGATTTGTCTGACTTCACACAAAATTGACTCATGACCACTCTTGCATGTGATATCATAAGCAAGAAGGGGCAGTCATCAAGTGCTGTGTTAGAGTTACTGTTGACTAAATTATTTTGGGAAACAGTTCATTCTGTAACACTTCATCATAATTAATTGCATCTCTTTAAAAGAAAAAGTATAACATTTTAATAATATGATTAGAAGCAAAAAATTAAACATTTATAATATGTTTTTAATTTGAACAAAACTTGGCATCTGAGAAGTAATTCACTTATGCCTGATCATCTGCTAGCAATTATAACTTAGGACAGCAAAAAAGAGCATACAGAAACAGTTAAATAAGAATTTCTTGAAGTAAAAAGCATTTTTATGCTTTCATGAAAAGTAAATTATGGTTACAATGAATTGACATTTACACATTTTATACTTAATATTATGATGTCAGTTATATTTGATACTCAATTTATGTTAAAGTTTTTAAGAGGCTTCTTAGTAGGTGGAGAATAAGAGCTCATTTACTCATTTATGTGGTTAATTTTTGAACTTTACCCTTTCAGAAATTGTAAAACAGTTTGTATAAGGCATTACCCTCTCTTCTGATTTCCCCTCTCTTTGCTAAATGTCCAGTTCTTGACTGATCGTCTGCTAAACATGGAAGGTTGGGCCAATGTGCTTACAGAAGATGTAGTGGATGATGATAACTTGCAATTGGGCATGAAGAGTGAATCAGAAGATGATGCTCATTTAGGTAGTAAGTCATGATTCATCCATCCTCTTTTGCTAAAATGATGGCAAGCATTTTTTTTTTATTTTTTAGTTTCTCATGTGCAGCATGTTCTTTATGTACTTGTGCTTTGGTCCATCGTGTCCTTTTGTCTGTAACATTCCATCTCTCTCTCTCACCACTTGTAGTAATTTAACTTCAGCTCAGTGCCACTCTTTTAGTGAGTCCTCCTTTAGCTCTTCAGACAGACGTAGACTGTCTTTTCCTTTATTCCATTTTATTATGTTAGATTTCAGGGTATATCATAATCATTTCCATATCCATTTTCCCTTGTAGCAACCTAATCACATAAATGGATGGGTAATTTGATAAATAAGTGTGCTAGAAGTGAACACTTTAGCTTCCTTTTTTATTTTAATGTTTTTATTTAGTTAGATGGTTCAGATAGTTATGGTTCTTTTAATCTTGGCCATCCGTTAATATTATTTATGATTGTAGTCTGCAGCTGGCAAAACAGGTTTACTATTGTACGTACTGTGTTCTCAGACTAATTCTTCTGATATTCTAATTTTGAAGTAAGGTGACTTCACAGAAAGTTACAAATTAGTACAGTGAGTTCCCATGTATCCGTTACCTAGTTTTTCCCAAAGGTAAATCCAAATAGCAGTTCTGTCCCATAGGGTCCCCAAGGTTGTAATCTTTGTAGATGCAGTCTGCCACATCTACCCATTGAATGGCTCATGGGCCAGCCGTTGAACATTTACTCACTATATCAAAAGGACTCTTTTTTTCCAGTGGTCGGGTCTCTTCTTATCCTTTCTCTTTTACCTACTGCTGTTATCTACATAATTAATGAATATATGGAGCAGAAAATGTGGGTGGTTTTTTTTTTAATTTTATGATAACATTATGTCGAAAGAAAATTACATTCTCACACTATATTCTTGAGTTCTATGTGTATGTTTTCACTTCTACTTTATTTTGTAAGAATTCATTCATTATACTCCAATAGAAGAAAGTCCTACTTGTTTCATGTTCCTTTAATTTGAGATAATAAATTTGCTCATATTTTGGGTACTGTAAAAGTCTAAAGTAGTTAAGACTGTAGACTGTGTTTAAACGAATGCCAGATCCTTGTTAAAATCGTTCTAGAAGTTGGTGCTGAAGAACCTTGTTAAATGATATTCCAGAGCTTTTATTCTTTTGCTTTCTGGGAGTAGGTCCAAGGTACACCAAGTTCTTAATTTTATCTACAGAGGAATTACAGATTCTAGTTCAGCAAACTAATAAAATCATGAAGGTGACTGCTATGAGCATTACTCAGTTTTCCTATTTGATATTTATGGATTGTTGAATGTTGTTTTTTTTCTACTGTAGATGAACAGAGAAGAAAAGCTTTGGAGAAACTTATCCAGGCTGCTAAGGTATGCATTAATACCTGAATATAAAGACATGTGAAGAAAGAATTAGAACAGACGTTAAGCTCGTAGGTCTTTGATAAGAATTTTCTTCATCAGTTGTTTATTTTTTACATAATTAGAAATTAATAGAAATCCGTATGGCTTGATATTAGTATCTATTTTTTTTAATTTTTTTAAAATTTTTATTATTTTTACGTGTACCGTCAAATCAGATCTGACTGGTACAGGAGATTGCCCCCTCCTTCTCCAGCAGAGCATCTGGTGGATTTGAACCATGTACCTCTGGGATTGCAGTGCAGCGTCTTGCCACTAGGCCACCAGAGCTCCCTTTAGGATCTATTTTAACATTTCTAAGTTCCACATTCATTTCTTTAGATTATGAATATCTTAAAAAATGTTTACTATATTTTCTCTTATACTTTCCACTATATACGTTCTTATTTCTGTGGTCTCAAAATTTACCTCTCCTTGTTATCCTATATTGGATTATTATCCCATATTGGAAAATGAGTCTAAATACTAGACTTATTTTCTGATGCTTCATTTTTCTTTACATCCTACTGGCAGTATCCTGTTCTTTGCTGATCTCTATCAAGTCTTGGTAATGTAATTTGAGAGATGCTTTAGTGAAAACCTATTTGTTGATAGTAAATAAAGGAAAAATAACCACTCTTTAAACTTCTTTAATTAACTGCTCTTCTCTGTTCCTGTTCTGAAGTTTGTAACTATTAATGGCTTTGATATCATCCAGGACAGAAGTTGGTTGGCTACTTTCCAAGTACTTTATCAGTGATAAAAGCTTGGAAAGGTTGGATGTGCTACATTGTTTATATATATATGTATATAAAATTGGCTAATGTTGCATTTTCTTCTTGTATTTTTTAAGTTAAATGCTTCTTTAAAAACTATGGAAGGTGAAAGAGACCAAATTTATACTGATTTATCTGAAATTGAGAAAACAAAGGATGAGCTTACAGGTAGGTGTTTATATACTTTTTTCATTTTTCTAAATAAATATACCTCTTTGTGGAGAACAGTACCAGTAATTGAATCATTTTTTAGGACTAAGTATTTTATTTATTATATTTGTTGGCAGTTTATAAAAAAAGTTCATTTTGTTATTGGTAAACTTTCCATTATCACATATTGATCTCTCATATAGATATATATATCTCTCATATATATCTATATATGTTGTTGTTGTTATGTGCTGTCAAGTTACTTGCGACTCATCGCGGCCCTGTGTACAACAGCCCTAAAGTCTGCTCTGTCCTGTGCCAATCACACTGTCTCCACTACACCCATCCTGATTGCCCCAGTCACTGAATCAATCCACCTCATAGAGGGCCTTCCTCTCTTATGCTGTCCCTCTACCCTCCCAAGCATGATATCCCTCTCCAAGGACCGGTCCCTACTTACAACATGTCCAAAGTATGTCAAAGCCTCAGAATCCTTGCTTCCAAGGAGCAGACTGATTTAACCCTCTCCAGAATGAACCTGTTTGTTTTCTTAGCAGTACATGGTACGTTCAATACTCTTCTCCAGTACCACATCTCAAAGGTATCAATTCTCCTTCTATCTTCCCTAGTCATTGTCCAACTCTCTGACGCATAACAAGTGATTGCAAAGACCATGGCCTGTATCAGATGCACCTTAGTCTCCAGAGTGACACTATTGTTCTTCAGTACTTTGGAGAGGTCCCTAACAGCAGACTTTACCATTGCAATATGTCTTTTAATTTCCTGGCTGCTGGTGCCAAGAGTGTTGACCGTGGAGCCAAACAAACTAAAGCTGTGAACAATCTCAATCTCTTCACCATCCATCCTGATGCTGCCATTTGGCCCAGTTGTGAGAATCTTTGTTTTCTTGATGTATGCTTCAGATCCTCCTCAGTTTAAGCAAGCAGGGTTGTGTCTTCTGCATAACGCAGACTGTTGATAGATCATCCACCAATCCTGACTCCACACTACTCCTCATAGAGCCCAGCCTCCCAGATAATCTATTCTGCCTACAGGTTGAAAAGGTATGGAGACAGGACACATCCCTGGTGTACGTCCTCCCCAAATTTGAGCCATACAATGTTTCCTTGCTCTATTTTGACGACTACCTGTTGGTCCAAGTATAGGTTTTGCGTTAGCACGATCAAGTGTCCGGGGATTCCAGTTCTTCTCAGAGTCAGCTACACTGAGCGAAGACCAAATGAGTTGTGGGAGGATATCAAGGGTATCATCCAGAAAGAGTGCAAACGGTAATTAAGAAGATGGAGGAGGAAGAATAGACCAAAATGGATGTCAGAAGAAACTCTGACTATTGCACTGGAGTGCAGAGAAACCGAAGTAGAAGGAAGAATTCAAGACACTAAAGAGCTGAACAGAAGATTTCAAAGGCAGTGCTGGATGACAAAGTAAAATATTACAACGATATGTGCAAGGAGTTGGTGTCAGAAAATCAAAAGGGCCGAAGTTGCTCAGCTTTTCTAAGCTCAAGGAATTGAAGAACAAATTCAAACCTCAATTTGCTATAATCAAGGATGCTTAAGGTAGAATACTAAATGATCCAGGAAGTATTAAAAGAAGATGGAAAGAATATGCTGAGTCACTGTATCAAAAGGAATTGGCGGATACAGAAGAATTTAATGAAACAACATATGAGCAAGAGCCTATGGTGGTGAAGGAAGAAGTTCAGGCTGCTTTGAAGCAAACAGCAAAAAATAAAATCCCAGGAATAAATGGTATATCATTTGACATATTTCAGCTAACAGATGCTGCCCTGGACGTGCTCACGAAATTGTGCTAAGAAATCTGGAGAACAACCACCTGGCCAACTGACTGGAAGAGATCTATATTTGTTCCCATTCCAAAGAAATGTGACCCAACAGAGTGTGGAAATATAGAACAATCTCATTGATTTCACATGCAAGTAAGATTCTGCTGAAGATTATCCAAAAATGACTGGAACAGCACACCAGCAGAGAACTGCCAGAAGTCCAGGCTGGGTTTAGAAGGGGTTATGGTACTAGGGACATTGTAGCTAATGTTAGATGGATCTTGGTTGGAAGCAGGGAATATCAGAGGAATGTCTCTCTGTATTTCATTGACAATACAAAGGCATTTGACTGTGTTGATCATGTAACAAACTATATATCATATATATCTCTGTATATCTACATCATATCCATAAAGTTAAAATAATGCCATGATATATTCCTAAACTATTTCACCTCTGCTCATTACTCTCTGATAATAATTTCTAGTGCTTTTTTTTAGCTGTAGAATATTTGAAACAGAGTAGGCATAGTAGCGTAAAAATATGATGATGATTTTAGTGTTGGTTTATACTTTTCTAAAATAGAGAAGAACCAATTTTAATAAAAGTGAAAAAGTTCTTTGTTTAGTGACTGTTCTTGGCAGTGTCTTAGAGCTAATGTCTTATAACCAGATGCAGATGTAAACATTTCTGTGAAAGACAGGTCTAGTCTGCCCTCTGTATTCATGTTTCTATATCTTTGGACTCAACCAGTCCTGGATGGAGAATACTCAGGGATGAGAGGAGCAATTAAGTGGTCCCCTGAAAGGCTAAAAGGAAGTGTAAAGTGTTTCTTTACATAGTACTGACATTGTTTTAGATAATGTAAGTAATCTACAGAGGTCAAGTATGTGGGAGAATATGGATGAGTTATATACAAATATTATGCAGTTTTTAAATAAAAGTTATTTGAACATCCATAGGAGGCTGTCCTGGAAGCAGTCCTCCATAACTGTATCAAAGGATGGTTGCACATTTAATCATGCAATGATAACATGATTATATAAACTTTTTGATGTATATTTTTAGTTAGTGGATGTTTTAAAATAATTATATACTATTAATATTTGAATGCATATTAGTATGATTTAGAAGATGTCCTCTCTGAATAGAGTTGAGTTTTGTCTTCTGCTTTGTGCTACCCATGTTTTTGGAGATGGTACCTAAAAGTTAGTGGAGTTCATACCTGAGGCTCTTATTGTTGAATGAGGTTTCTAAAATAGCTAATGTGATGCACTGATAGAAAGTATCCATAATTAAATAGTTAATGTTTGTTAAATTGATAATGGGGTTTTTGGTTTTTTTTTGTTGTTGTTTGTTTGTTTTTTTAGGTGATTCTTTGAGGTAGTTTATGGCAGTTGAAACAAAGCTAAAGTTGATAAATATTTTTTTTCCTCCTCTTAGTCTCGATCTGGTTTACACTGGAATTTTGATCTAGATTTCTGACTTGGAACAAACATATGTTTAAGTTAAATATTCTGACTTCAAAAGTTAAATTTTTACAAGTGAAGTTCTTATTAGATTAAAAGCAGACACATAGAAGTAGTTTTACAGGCACCACTGACCTAAAATAACCGTCCTTAAAACCCATCTCCAAAATCATCTTATAGAACTTTAATAGCTTTTACTTCCAAGATGAAAAATACATAGTAGAATTAAATTTTTGAAGGTTTGGGGAATCCTATTATTGATAAAAAATTGTTAGACATAGTTATTCATTAAAGGCCTATAAAGCATTTAAGTAAACAAAATACCCATTAGTTTTTTTGCTGTTGTTCCAAAGAAGAGTGAATGTCTTTAGTTTATCAGTAATTTATTATCCATCATTTATGTCTTTTGTAAAGGTTAATGCGAAGGTCCCATTTACTCAATTGATGTGACTTTTAAATTTTTACCGTAGAGCATATGAAAAACCTTGAGACTGAGCAGTCATCTATACAATCAGAAAGTACATTACTTGAAAATGACAGACAAAGACTTCAAAATAAACTTGAAGTCATGACTGAACTGTATCAAGAAAATGAGATGAAACTTCACAGGTAATAAAAATTGTGTTGATGATTACACTGAATGGCAAATAAAGTAGCTTAAAGTTTGTTTCACATATTCAACTTCTATGTTTATTAGAAATTATCAATTTATAATAGTTATATTTCCTTGATTTATTTTTAGGAAAGTTACTTGATCATGAGACTTTACTCTTAGCACATTGTAAATGATGTTGGAACTTCTAAATTAGTTGACTAATTCTTTTTAAGTTGTAATAAAAAGTAATTTTTGCCTTATTTTGCCAAAGTATTCCTAAAATTGGTAGGTTAAGTTAAGAAAACACACTATTTATTAGAACTACCAAATAATTTAATTCCTAATGTATTTAAGATTGACCTCTTCCCTCATGCAAATCATTCATGCTGTCATACCTTTTCTCAGCAAATGACACTGTCATTTGTCTGGTTGCTCGTTATACTGGTTTAAGCCTTTCTCAGTCTACCTTTTTTTTTTGTTCTGTTTTTACTTTTATTTCTTTTTAGTGTATCTCTTTTATCTTGTTTGTTCTGTCATCAAATCCTGTCAGTTTTTCCCTGTCTTGACTCTGACTACATTTCACAACCTCCTGTTCTAATATTGTAATTCAGGCCTTTATTAGTTAGTACTTGGTTTATTACAGTTATTTGTTAAGTGGCTTCTCTCCTTTTCACGCTTAAACTTCTGTGCTGTTTTCTGTGCATTATATTGAATGTCAATGCTGTTGCGTTGTTCCTGACTCAGAGTGACCTTCCATTGTTTCTGAGTCAGTAAATCTTTATGGGAGGAGACAGTCACTCCTTCGTGCTTGGGGCTCCTAGCAAACAGAAATTATAGTTGCACTCTTATTCAGAATCTCTGAGTGTTCTCATATCATATACAGATTAAGGATTTAGTATGGCTTATAAAGCCCTAAGAATTGGTGCCTGGCTGCTTTACTCTAGATTGCTTCAGTGTTTCCCCTTAATGTTCTGTAGACACAGTAGCCTTCTTGATTACTGTTAGCATGCCAGGCACATCTGTACCTCAGTGGTTTAGCATTTGCTTCTAATGTGTGGCATGGTGTTTTCCTGTGTGTGTGTGTGTGTGTGTGTGTGTGTGTGTGGTTCATATGGATTTAAGTTCAGATGTCTCCGAGAACCTCTCTATGAGTATGTGCTTTTAAAGGAAGTATTTCCTACCATTCTTCACCACTTAATCTTACTTTATTTTTATCATAACTCCTATTTTTATTTTCTGACTCCCCTACATTAAATGTCAACTCATAAGAGAATGAGTTTGTTTTTTAGCTTTAGTCCTTCTACAACTGTGCCTGGCACATGAAAACTGAACATCTGAAAATTGAAATAGTCCTTTGATATGGGAATGAGTGTGTGCATTCATATACTGTTAACTACATGTGGGTGCACAGAAGACCCTTGAGATAATCTGAGAACTGTATTTTTAAAATACTGCTGTAGCATGCATTTTTCATCAGAAAGCGAAATAAAGCATAAACATAGTTTTAAGTCTCTTTTTTTGACAGTTTTATAACTTTATTTGATAATCAGCTATTTTCATCCACATTGACAGTCTGTAGATTTTTTTAAAGTAGTAACTGGTACTTAGGTAACCAGTGTATACAGCTTGTATGGGGAATCTTCATCCTCATTACGTTTTCTGGACAACTGTACACGAATGCAGTAGAGGACATTCCTTACTCCTTTGGCCCAGACAGCTGTGTTAAACCTGGTGTCAGTGTGAACATCTGGTGTTCCCATCTCTTTCATGGCAAATTTCTGGGTCTCCTTGAGTGCCTGAGGAGCATGCTTCTTAAACTGCACTCCATGGATGCGCATGTCAATCCTGATGACTTTCTTTTTGGTCACCACTTTGTTGACTGCAGAATGGCCTTTCTTCATCTCACCATCCTTATTTGCTGCGGCCGTATGGCCTGGACCAGGCTGGAAAGGAAAAGGGCAAAGGATTGTGGCAGTTTTAAGTCTCTTTAGAAACATAATTAACATTATTATGAATTTGGAAAATGGTGGAGAACATAAATATTTAAATGATATCGTGATACTAATTGATTCATCTCATTTGCCAGTCAAATCCTGTACTTCAACTATGACAAAATGGAAGAGGTCCCTTGTAAACCTTAGTATCTCAGCCAGTAAATTTAGGAACAGGCATTTTTTTTTAACAGAAAGGAATTGTTAAGAAAATTTTTTACACAAAAAGGATTATTTTAGGTGAAAGAATTACATTTATGTTTATTTTTTAAGAAAATGACTTCTGGATCACAACAGCTCTGTGTGTAATAATACACTACCAGGTCCTATACCACCCTTCGATCCTTCCTGTGTTTGAAATCATTGTTGAAGCCACTGTGTTAATCTCTCTCATTGAGGACCTTCCTCTTTCTTGCTGACTTCATACTTTACCAACTATGATATATTTAGCAAAAGACTGATCCTTTGAAGTATAATATGTAATCTTTTCTCTATTTATCATGATGTTGTTTATTGGGCACTTTGGTTTTCTTGATGTTGAGATATAATTTTACTCAGGTCTTTGATTTTTTTTT